AAGGTCCTGCTGTCCGCCGCCTAGAGCATGGGCCAAGGCTTTGCACCCGCCTGGAGGTGATGGTGTAAAGGGGCAGGCTGCTTGAGGAACTCATCTTGGGGCTCCCCAAATCCCTCTACAGGGTCTAGGACTAGGAGGAAGAGTTAGGAGTCATGCCCGCAGCTGAGCACTAGGCTGTGAATAACAATAATCATAACACTATCATTGTCAGCATTACCAGCGAGAGCGCCCGCACCTTACGCTTGATTAAATCTCATAATTAGAAGTCACTTTAATGAATATTCTTTCGTTTTTCAGCCTATTTTAAAAAAGAACTTTTTTTTTAGGATCGCAGCATACATATTATGAAGTATTCGGGGTTTTGAATAAAAATATAAACAGTCTCCAAGGAGCTCGGTCTCCAGACAGCGCGCGCAACCTATGGAGCCCTGCAACTCACAACCTCCTCTACACCCGCGCGCGGGCGTACAGGTATATTGCTCCCAAGCTCCTGAGGCCACGGAGTCCACCAACTCTCAGGATCTGGGGGCGCCCAAAGCTTTGCTCAGCTTTTTTAGCCCTTCGCCACTTTGAGGCCTAGAGAAGGCTTTGCAGTTGGTTAGGGACGAAACAGAGATCAGCGGAAGAAGGCCGCCTCGTACTGAGGCTACAAGGCTGAGTAAGGGAGGGTTGATAGTGTGGGGGTGTATGTTGCAGCAAGGGGACCAGTCTCCCTGAGGCTGATTTCTACCTCTCTGGGAGATCTGTGCCTTAGAGATGGCGCTGTGGCCCTTTGTTAGTGACTATTAACCTCCCAGCGCGCGCCGGCTACGCCTGGTGGGCTGCAGTTTTCGGCGGAGCCGGGACCCTCCCAGGGGCTCTCTGGGAGCTGCTGAGGCGGACAGAGAAAGTGCAGGTCGGATATTAAACCAGCGGGAGACAGAACGACTTTTAGCAGAGCGGGAGCAAGCCGCCTTCCCCGCTAGCCCCTCCTGGCCAGTGCGCGTGTATTTGCATATGTAGTGTCTGGGTATTTATTTCACATAAAGTCGCCCGGGAACACCTGTGCATAGTTGTCATTGTGCCCCATCAATACACACTTTTTATTCAAAATATCCTTCCAACCTATGGAGTCTTCTTGACAACTCGATTCATGTCATCTGCACCCCGTTTCTTTCCTTTCAGTAATAAAATCGTAGGATAAGTGCACACAAAGCCTTGGTCAGGCCTGTCCTTGCCATCTTCAGGGTCTGACTCCAGCTTGGGGATTGCTCCCTACTTATCCGAGCCTTTGCTTGGCCCTCACTCCCATGGTCCTACAGTCTCACGGGGGTGCTGCTCTGGGGGGCGATCTGGGGTCGCAGGCAGCTCCTCTAGGGCAGAGTCCACCAGGTCTTCACTGAGTTTCTGCCACATTGTGGAGGATGTGAATAGGTCAGGGGGCGTAGCTCCAGCGGCCAGGGCTAGGACACAGCCAGGCCTAGGAGTGGGGGCAGTTCAGCAGGAAAGGAGGGGCTTGTGAGAAGCAGGGCCTGAGTTATAAAGCAGCTTTCCTCTAATGCTCAAGACCCATGGGGGAGACAACCTGGTGAGGGATCCACAACAAGACTCTACCAACTCCTGCGGGTGTCATTCAAGGTCCAGATCAGAGTGTGCAGAGACACTGGTGGCCAGGTGGACTTCAGATCGGAAGCTGCCCTCCCCTCTGGCTGGCTCCTGGTCCTGCCTCACCCCTCAGGATCGAGGGCTTTCTGGTTCAGTAGTGGCTCCCCAAGAGTTACAAGCTAAGCTTGCACCTGGTAAATAGAAAGATGTGATAAACATAAGAGTAAAAATAGAACCGAAGTATTTCAAGAGAGAGACTTGCGGGTTAGTCCCTACCATAGACAAAGAAATGGGCTCAAGTAAGCCTGGTGTCAGTTTGAACACCTCTGGGGTCAGGGAACTCACTACCTCACAAAGTTAGACTCTTGTGGTGCTGGTGTTATGATTTGCTTTTATTTTTCTAAAATTATCTATTACGTTTCATATTACCTATTATGATTTAATATTACCTTTTTCTTAACAAGACAGGCCAGATTTTTTAAAAAGGGAAAATGGGTTAAAAGTTAATAGTTTTCAGGTTTTTTGGTGTTGGGTTTTTTTTTAATAGCAGCGGAAGGGGTGGGCAGAGAAGGTGTGAGTTTGTGATACTGTCCCCATGGGATGGGGGGCTCCCTGACTGGAGCAGTGGGGACTCTCCAGAGCAATCTCCCGGGAGCCTGCTGGCAGGTGCAGGGTCCCCTTGCCCTCACTCTCCACCCTAGGCAGTGCCCATCTTGGGAAGACCAGCCAGCTCCTTTGAAGGCTGCCTGCCTGATAGCATCCAGCCAAAACCACCTGAAAGCTGACCTTCAGCAACATGGGATCATCACTAGGTTCTTTTCGTTTCTTTTATGGAGAGAAGAAAATGTCTTTTTTTTTTTTCACCAAGTAAGAGCAGAGGATACATCAGATCCCACTCACTCACCTGGGCAAACAGGATTCCTGGAGGGCAGAGGCTGCCTACCTCTGCAGGCAAACCTGGCTCCTTTCAATACAACCTATTTGAGTTGTTTTATGCCTTTTTCTTGGGGGAGGGGGTGAAGAGCGTGTAACAACAACAGCAGACTGTAAACAAAATCTATACACAAAAGAGGAGAGTCTCTAAATTCCAGTGGGTAAAATTTACTTGCCACTGTGGGACAAACTCCTCCACCCAGAAGGCAGGAAGAGCGAGTGAGCCAGTAAGCAGGGAGGGAGGAGACCTGTTGCACTGGGATTTTAAATGTATACTTGAGGAAATCGCACCATTATTTTGAATACTTGCTCCAGGGAAGGTAATGTGGACTTAAATGATTTTGGTTCTTCTGTGCTGACAAGGAAATATTCAAAGTACCTTTATCACAGTTTAAAACCATTGCACGTCTGTTACAGAAGACACCCACAACCTGTTTGAGCCCAGGGCAGACATCATGATCACTCAGGCTTGGGGAAGGACTTAGAAACGTCTGACAGATACTATTCATTCCACCTTGCACATGGAGGATTTTATAATAAAGTGTTCTTTTTTATTTAATGTCATTTTTCAAGGATTTAAACACACAAAAATGCAGAGGGAATGTTCACAATTTTTGATAACCACGGTTGTAAATAGAAACATTCATTTCTCATAAGATTATAAATATTTGATAACTGCAACTGTAAAATGCACATGTTATAGAAACCAAGAATAGGGGGTGGGAAACCCAAATTTTGTTTCCTGCTAAAAAGGCATGTCATTTCATTGCGTCTCCTAAGCAGCAGATGGTTCTTCACAGAATTTTAAATTACAACTTTCATTTTTATACTTTCCTTTAAAAAAAAAAGAATTACACTATTATTTACAAAGTTGGAACTATCAAAGCAGTGAAATAAAGAAGCTTAAGGCAAAGAGATAAGTTCACCGACCATCTTCAGAGAGACCACCACACCTCAGGGTGAGCATGCCTCCCACCCCTGGCTGTCTCCCACCACAGTTAGACATCTGGACACCATTCTTTTCCATACGTTAAACAGAAGACAGGGTAGAATTATATATATATATATGTGTGTGTGTGTGTGTATATATGTAATTGGTGGGGAATATATTGAATATATTTAATTTACACTGTACCACACCTTCAAAAAATAAAAAAAGTATATATATAAAAAAAACCAACCAAAAGCCAAACAAGAAAAGACAAAAAAAGTGATAGGAAATGATTATTTACATTTTCTTCCTTCCTCTAGACCTGGAGGGTTCTGAGTTCCTTTTCAAGCCAAAGTAAGCCACACGTGCCAGTATTCTGGGCTCATACTCATCCATTTATGTGTGTATATATGTATCTATGCATAAACATTTACACACACATTTACCTTGGAAGAATATTCTCTATAGGAAACACTTATTTTAAAATAAAATATTGAAAAGGACATAAAAAGGAAAGGAAGAAAAGGCCAGCTATCTCTCTAGGAGCCCCCTGCAGCCCCAGGGCAGCAGGCCACAACCCCCTATCTGGGGCCCAGGCTGGTGCCTGCAGTGGCTGATGTGCAGCAGGAAGTCCCCCTGGCCAGCAGCTGTCCAGTGCCCACCTGGCTCCGAGTTGAGCTCAAGGCTGGAGACAAGGCATGGTGGAAGCGATGGTGGCCAGCGCCTAGGAACTTGGCCCTTGGAGCAGCGCAGATAGGGAATGGGGTGCCCAGGCATTGCTGGTGGCTCTCCCTAAAGAGCCAGTAGGGCCTGGGGAGGGAATGGCAAGGACAGGGAGCAGGCAGCGTCATTCTGGCCTCTTCCCAGGCCGCCAGCGGCCATATAGGGTCAGGACTTACCCTGACTTCCTAGGACAAGCCCTAATGCTTGGGGCTGATGGTTTCCAAACTCACCCGAAGTACAGTGGCCCCGCCAGTCCTCATTCCCACGAGGCCCCCCTGGTTTCTGCTACTAGAGGCCAACCAGGTCTTGGGGTCACAGCACCACCGCCCACAGGCTCCACGAGGGTGCTGGGGTGGTGGTGGAAGCCAACACAGACAAAGTGGCAGAAATCATAGACCAAATAGGAGCTATTTATTCGGTTCACAGTCGTGTGAGATGCAGCAATAAAAATCTTTGGACTTCAGCAAGTTGTTTTAAATTTTTCTCTTCTTTTGAATTAAAAAAAAAGTGTCCAATGTCCCATCATGAAGCTTAGGGGAGTAAAAAAGATGAAACCCTAAACCGTCCCCCTTGCAAAAAAAAAAATCATAAAATTACCACAATCTCATAAACACAAAAAACTCAAAAAATATTTTATAGTCAGATATTTTGGATTTTACACCACCTGTAAATTATATATACATAGAATATTGCAGAATCAGCTAATACACGATTTTTTTTTTTACTATTAATGCTGGTATAATCTTTATACACTGGCCCTTTATGGTTTTTAAATTATTGCATTGTTCAGCGTGGACTGAATATTGGATCCCGGCGTGCCCTCCCCAGCCTACTCGCTGTCCGACTTGCCCTCCTTGGCCGTGGTGGAGTGGTTGTACAAACCCTGCGCCATGAGGTGGACTGCCAGGGTGTTCTTGTTGCCTGTGGCCTTCTTGATCTTGGCACGCTTGTTCTGAAACCAAATCTTGATCTGTGACTCGTTGAGGCTGAGCTCCTGCGCCAGGCTCTGCCGCCGCTGCTCCGTCAGGTACCTGTTAGTTTGGAACTCGGCCTTCAGCCTCTGCAGCTGCTCTGCAGTGAAGGCTGTGCGAGGCCGCTTGTCCTCTTTGTTCGGGTTCTTCTTCTTTGGTTTTCGAGACCTGGGACCTGGATGTGCAGAGAGAACACAGGTCACTCACAAATACCACTACTTACCCCCTGAGTCAGGGGTGACCCCAATGGACACCATGTGAGAGGGCAGGTGCCCACAATTCCCTCCTTGTGTGACAGGACACAGCGACTACTACGGACTACTACGGTAGGTAGTGACTTATCCAAGGCCTTCCGACTGAGCTAGCCACTTGGCGGAACTAGCAGACTTTGGGCTAGTTGGGCTCACCTCAGAGCTCCACTACCCACCTCTAAGGAACAAACCAGATAAGAAATGTGTGGGTGAAGGCTCTGAGCAAGGACAGTGAGGATCACAGCAGGAGGACCCCAGCAGACTTAGTGGAAAGGCCACTCACAATCGAGGAGTCTCCAGATGAAAGTAAAACTCCAAAGGAAGAATAAAACCTTTTCTGGTGTGGCTTCTCCCAGGCCTTTCTGAACATCTTTGCAGGAAAAAAGGCAGAGGAGGTGGGTGCAGGGAGAGAGATAGATTGGGGAAGGGGCTGAGATGGCCAGAGAAGCAGGAGACCTCAAGAGTTTCAGTGGGGACCCCTACAGGAACTGTGCAGTGTTCCACCAGAGCTGTGGGAATCAGGTGGGGCCTTCAGCTGCAGAGGTTGAACACCAGAGAAGCCTAGTGTCCCACCCTCCCACAGCCCCCGCTCTGCATCCCACAGAAGATCCTGTCTGCCCAAGTTCATTGTCTCAAGAGAGGCACACACATCATTCTTGGGCCCTAAAAGAGGGAAGAATCGCTTTCTGAAGCCTCTCCAACTCAACTAGGATTCCCTTGTAGGGACCTGGTCTCTGCTTGGGTGCAGGAGCCAGCAGCCCACTTCTCAGACCTAGAATCGGCTTGCCTGTCGGGGCCATCTGACATTTTGGGGGGGAGGAGTTCCACACCTGCACTCCCACCCCTGCCTCACTAAGGTCCTCCCGCATATAGCCTGGGTGGGTTTTAAGACTCCTGGGACAATTTAGCCAGAAGGGCCCAAGCCAGGGGAAGAAGAGGCAGCTGTGGGCTTTTTTTTTCCTTGTTGGTGTAAATAAACCCCGAACCTGCCTCCCAGAAGTAACTATCAGGGAATCTGTGATGGAACAGGATGACAGGAACATTGAGGGAAAGTGTTTTGATCTTAAATGTGAGTGTACAAGTCAGAGAGGCTTGTCAATAAACTTTCTGGGAAAAGAAAGCCCTGCCCCAGGGTCTCACAGCAAAAGGTAGCAAATACAGGAGAAAGGCCCACTAACAGCCCCACTAACTCGGCAGCCAGTGGTCCGCTCTGTCACCTCTCTGTGTGTCTGCAGGGCAAAGGCCTGTATTGCACTTCTCACCCAGCCATGGAGGGAGGTGGAGGCCCAGGCTGTTCTGTATGTCTGTGTGGGCCCAAGAACTGCCTCCGAACCAGCACCCAGAACCCCTCAGTCTATACTTTTTCCACACTGAGGAAGAAGGGCTGGGAGGGTGAGGAAGAAAGATGCTAAAGGCATTTGGGTATCAAACTCTGGGCCTTTCTCACATTCCCGCCTCCCCATACAAGCAACAACTGAGCTGCCCTTGCCAAGCAAGGCCAGCTGCAAGCTACGCTCTGCTTATCTGGCCTTCCTGGAAGCTGGTGGGGTTAAAGCCCTGCAGGGCCGGGTCCTCTCCCTCTCAGGCCAGTAGGACCACAGCGGGCAACGGAGTGGGATAAGATGAGAAGAACTGTGGTGGGTATGCGTTCCTACTGCCGATACTAAATGAGCCAAGTGCAGAGATCCACGTTGTCTGGAGCCTGGCTCTGCTTTTCCTAAATCACGCGCTCCATGTACCCCTCACCTCCACTCACTGGGGGGGTGCAGATGGGGGGGGAGGTGTGGTTCACCTACACACATCTACCTGAAGAATAAATTTTTTTTAAAAAAAAAATTAAAACCCAGGAGAAAAATCTACCTAAAATAAAAACTGTGACTTCTCTCTCGTTTGAAATTTTATTTCCAAAGGTAAACACAAGCCTCGGACCAAAACCTTCAGGAGAAAACTCTCTTTTCCTTCTTTTTTTTTTTTTTCTTCTTCAAAGCCTAAGTACATCAATCTTCTCTTGAGTGGATTTTGTGCTGCTCATCGTTGAACCCAGAAAAAGCCAGCGGCTCGCAATGGGCATGGGGCGCTGGGTTCCCGCGGGCGGAACCCGGGCCTGCCTGGCGGGCCCGGGCTCTTCGCGCTGCACAAAGCGCTCCGCGCAGCCTTCCCACCCGGCTGGGGCATTGTGAGGCTATATGTTAATTAAATATTAACAAAGGGAGGGAGGCGAGAACAATGGAGCAATTTTCAGATCTGGCTGGAAAATGTATGATTTCATTAGAAATTGTACACGTTTGTATTTTCGCAGCGAGGCCGCCCAGGCTGTGTAGCAATTTGGTTAATCCAAACCGGCAAAACTATCGCGGGTGCTAGGGGGCCTGGAGAGGATCCGGCCTGCAGTGTCTGGCCAGGGACCTCGCGGGACCTACTCCACAAATGGAGACCGTTCCTAATGGCGGGTCCTAGCCTTAGACCTGCATTTAATGTGGCTAATGGTTTCTGCAGGCTTTTGGACAGAGCTTTCTAAAAGCCAGGCCCTGCACACACCCAGAGCTCACGCTGCCGCGCACACACCAAGGCATCCCAACAGGAAACCCCGGCTCCAGAAGGTCCTTTACATTTTGAGAGTTCCTGAAGCTCCCAGGCCGGGAGAGGAAACGGGGGTCCACCGAGCGGTCTGCGGGCAGGTCCTGAGCGCTGCCGCGGCAGAATCGGGAGGACTGAAGAGGGCACTTCGGCTTTTCATAATTTCCCTCCCAACGGGGACGAGGGGTCAGCCCCGATACGATCGCGCAACACCGCTTCTGTCCAGGCCTAAAACCCCAGCACAGGACGCATGGCCCGCCTTCCCCCTTCTCTGCACACCACACCTTGGGTCGCAGGGGGGTACAAAGAGTCCTGCCTGGGGGTGCGAGGCGTGTGTCCCCAGCCTGGGCTGAATTGGAAGAAGGTGGAGAAGAGGTTGTGAATTTTTGTTTTGGGGCCGGTTTTCTAGAGAACCCTTTTCCCATCAAATAACCGCCAAACGGTCTAGAGAAGTCTGAAGTGGGATGGGAAGGCGCAAAGGCCGCAAAAGGCAATAAAGTGTGAGAGAAAGGCCCTCTCTGTCCTAAGTGAGGTGGCTGCGACCCCCTTGAGAACCCAGTTTTCTCGCCTTGTTGCTGCCTGGGCCGGAGTCAGCCGGGTACAATGTCGCTGCTGTGTGTGCAATGTGTCTTTGTGTGTGTATTTTTTTTGGGGGGGTGGGTCTCCTTGCTTCAAGTTTACAGCTTGACTATGGCGCGTTTCCGCGTCAGCACAGCCCCCGAAACCACGCCAGCCTCCCTGAGGTCGCCCGCCCCCCATCCCCCACCCGCCCCGCCTGGCTTACCTGAAGAAGGCCGGTCCGAGTACCGCGTGCAGTAGACCCAGGCTGGCCACAGCATGGGCTGCGTCCCCAGGTTCGCGCTGGCCTGAGAGCTGTCCGAGTCCGAGCTCACCGACAGGTCCCCGCCACCCAAACCGCGGGGCTTGAGCGCTGCGTCCAGGACCCCCCCAGGGTCGCCGCTTTTCTTGGCCCCGCCGTGCAGCGAGAGCGCTTTGGAGCCGCCTTCACCGTCGCCAGGAGATTCCCCGCCGCCGCCGCCGGGCAGCAGCCCGCCAGCCCCGGGCGCAGAGGCGGCGGTGTGCCGGGGCTCCCGGCTCCCAGACCGCAGGAGCTGCTCGGCGCCGCCTGCGACACCTCCTCCCTCGGCGCCGCCCGCGCTGCCGCCTCCGCCTCCTTCCTCGCCTCCGCCTCCTCGGCCACCGCCGCCCGCACAGCACGTCCCCGCGTCTTTCCTCCGGCCGAACTCGGGCCGCAAGATGTTGTCGATGAAGAAGTTGGTGATGCGATGTGGGTGCTGGTGGTTGCCCGGCGCCTGCAGGACCACGGGCAGGATCAGAGCCCGCCGGCGGCCGGTGTCCGAGTCGCTGGGGCTGCTGCCGTCGCCGCCACTACTGCTGGGGCTGCCCCCTGTGCCGGGTTCTGGCTGCCGCTGCCCCTCCACAGCAGCCACCGCTTCGCCGGGGTTGGGGTCATTCTCCTCCATGCTGTTCACAACAAATCCCAAATTGTTCCTGTTGAGGATCCCCCCAAATCAAACCTCGGCCCGCCCGCGGCACCCCTGGAGTCCCCCGCGGCCAGCCGGCTCTCGCGTCCCGCCGACTCCTCTGAGGCTGGGTGAAGCTGCCGTGGCCAGGGCTGTTGTCTCCAAAGTGACTGGCGGGGCTCGGTGCGCAGCCACGTTCGAATCCAAGAGTCGGCTCGGACGAATCGCAGTGCTGACACGGTGCGCCCAGCAGCTGGGGGCTCTAGAGTCCGCCGCTTCCCCGTCTCAGCTCGACAGTAACAATAGTCGCCGCGGGGTTGGCGGCGCCGCACTGCCAGCCTTCGCGCCCCGCGCGCTCGGGCTCCGATCTCCGCCCCGCCTGGCGCCGCCTTCAGCTCCGGCGCTGCCGCCCGGGGCTGAGCTCGTGCACATCCAGGCGGCTCGGTCCCCGCCGCCACACTCCCGCTGGCTCCCGGGCCCCGCGCCCGTCCGAGCTGTCCACCCGGCCCCGCGCGCTTAC